CTCTCTCTCTCTCTTTCTCTCTCCTTCTCCAAATATCTCTAACAAGGAAAGGCATCGCTATTTGTGCAACCACAGGCCAGGAAAATTCAGCGTGCAGTGAGCAGAATTCAAAGCAGTTCTGTCTTTAAATCTTATATCGCTCAACTGTGGGTATGTACCTGTCATCACAGCAACAATGTTACCAAGACATGTTTCCAAGACACTGGAGACAAAGATATTGTTTCACTGTTGTAACTCAACCCTGACATTTCGAGACAGTATCAGTCTAAGCATTCTTTCATTATGATGAATACACACAGAGGGCTGTGTCTACATGCTCCGCGTGGAATGCATCTCCACAGTGAAGATGGTGGCAGTGGGAGTGACATGCTACTTGTGACGGTCTGATTGTCACCAAGCCAGTGTCAGCAAATTAAATCTGTACAACAAAAATACTACAAATGTTACAACCAATACAGGTTTTCTTTTTCAGTTTGTATTTATAATGATTTAGGGGCAGATATCCATGTAAAGTCAACATTACACAACTTCTGTGTTGTTGCATGTCCCCTTAGCAACAGTAACTCTTTCAATAAACGGTTTACAACACACCCTATTACAGCAATTTGTGCATAAGAGTAAAAAGACTCAGCTCCCAACAGATCAAATGGCATTAAAGATGATGTCGCCTACGGCTATAAATACAGTATGATGCGTGATGAAGGGTATCCCCTCATTTCCTTGTGTTTTGGTTTCAGGATCTTCAGGAAGATTTGAGATACCTCGGGCTGGTCAACTACACTCCTTAGAAAGACAAATATTAGTTTAACCCCACTGTAAAAAAAATGTATTAAGCGCTATCCAAGAGGAGAAATCTTGTTTTGGTCAAAACCAAGCAAAACCTGTTTTCAGCTGTTGATGACTAAATGATGACTTTGCATTACACAGCAGTATCACCTATCCGTGAGTGGCTGTTCAGTCATCAATGAATCAGGGATGATAAGTGACAGTGATCGCAAATACAGGCCCAGACCTGTGAAGCTCAGAAAACACACCAGGACACCAACAACCATTGTTCGAATGTGATGGAGCCCCTGCTGTTTGCAGAAATGTAGCATGATGAAAACTACCACAAAGTGCATTAGGTTTGTGCCTGATTGAACCGCTGTGCAGTCAGCAACTCAGCATTATTGGAGGCTAGTGTCAGTGTCAGAGTAAAGCCCCCACAGCTCCAAACTGATCTAAGCCCAGTTTGCAAATGAGCTTAAGATGTCAGCTTAAAAGCTTTTCCTGAAACTGAGACGAGAGACGGAGCTGTGATGGCTCTCTCACAGCCACAAAGCTGGTGTGGGGAGAGTGAGAGTGAGTGTGTGAAAGCGTGAGGGAGTGAAGGAGTCAAACAAATAAATAGACAAAGAGAATGACAGGAAGAAAGTAGACCACACCTCTGTCTGCAAAATACTCATCATACTCTTCATTCCAGACACATGCTGAAAAGGTCCAGTCATTTACGTTCTATGTACAGTAGGTACAACACCGGTAAGGTCTAAATAAAGACTGTAAAAAGGAAGCTGTACTGCGATTAAATATTTACACGTATTTGCACCAATATTCTAACAACTTCATCAACTTCAATACTGCCCTTCCACGGCATCACAAACTTCTATGTGCTGTCATGGATTCGCATTATATTCAAACTAGTTTTTGCTGGACTGAGACACTCATTCAATTTAATTAAAATATATTTAACATATTTTTCTTGTTAATTTCCTGTAATATGAAATGAATTAGGCCATAAATTAAATGGAATGTACATGTTAATAACCCCTAACTTAAAAAAAAAAAAAAAAAAAAAAAAAGGAAAAATATCTATGGCATAAAGTTTCCATTGTCTTAGTGTGTTATACCGTAAACACACCTAACTGAGGCGAAGTGCAGCTTGCCACAATGATTACAGCCATGGCGTGGCTTTTTGTTTCAGGCAGGAGGAAATTGTTTGTTACATAGGTCAATATGTCACAGGCATGGATGTATAATAATTACTTGATACCGAACGCCAAGATGGCGCCTATTCAGTCCAGTAGAATTGCTTGCCTGACACATATGCCAAAAAAAGTTTCTAGCTACTGGGTTTAAGTCTACAGTATGCATCCCACTGAGCGTGGGCATTGGTGTTCCCGCTCAACTCATAGACGTTACATTGTGATGACATTGTGGATTTTTACATCGCTTTTCTTGGCTCAAGGAAAGATTTACAAATATCAAAATGTTCACAGTTTGAGGTGTCCTGCCAACAGTTTGCAGACATTTCTTTTACAAATGTAGTCTACAGGGTAAATGCCTTTTGGGCTGCAGGTGATTTTTTTCGCTGCAATACTGCGAGTGGCCACTGGAGAAGCCAATGTTGAAGTGCCAAAAACTGCAGTTCATCAACTAGCCACTTGGGGCTGGTAGCAAAACAGAGTAATTCCCCATAGACTCCCATGTTAAAATGCCCAACTTTAGAGCTAAAATAAACACGTTTACAGCCTAGGCCCTAATGTTGCAAGCATTCTCTGGCCACAATTTGCTGCTAAAAGTTAAACTGTCTCCACTTTTTATTTGAGCCGCACAGAATTTAACAGCCGCAGCTCGATGCAGGTCGCACTTTGCCACTTCTTATTGTGTTTTCGGCATCAGATGAGATGATTAATAGCATTCTCTACACTGCCTGTATGTTCAACATGACGCTACAACAAGCAGCCTGTTATCTTAGCTTAGCATAAAGACTAGAAACAGCTAGCCTGGCTCAGTCTAAAGACACCAAACTTGCCAACCAGCACGTCTGCAGCTCACGAACACATTATATCTTGTTTGTTTAGTCTTTACAAAAATAAGTGGAGAAACAAGTTTACTGTGTACTCAACGGTTTCTTCTTGACTTCAGAAAGTCACTGCACCCAGCCTAGAAACAGGCTAGCTGTTTTGGCCTGCTTTCAGTCTTATGCTAAGCAAAGCTAACTGACTGCTAACTGTAGCTTCATATTTAGAGGACAGATATGAGAGCAGAGCTGATCCTCTTATCTAGCTTTTTTTGTTTTGTTGTGAAAAGGAAGTAGCTTTAGTGTATGAATCGTGCTTTATACACAAATTTGCTCTGCCTTTAAGTGTCTGCAAGACAGCGAAAACACATACAAGGTCAAGCTACTCCTTCAACTGAAGTAAAATTGTCTATTTACACAAAAAGGTAAAACTTAAAATGCAGTTTCCACCTTTTGAGGTCCTGTATGATCTACATTTCAGCTGTAGCCTAGCATGTGAGCTACATGTCCACATGGCATGCAATCAATACAAACTATACTAACTCCCCTACAGTATATGGACCGCACCTGGACTGTGGACCACACTGATGGACACCTTGAGATGACACTAAAGCACTAGGCCCATTACATGTGCAATGAGTTCACGGTGGAAGTTTCAATTGGTGTTTCTCTGCCAAAGTCCACTTTGGTGTTTGGATGTTTTAGAGGAGCGGTTCCCAACTGGTTGGTCATGGCCCAAAAGTGGGTGGTGGGTCCATTTTAAATGGATCCCCAAGTGACTTGCAAACTTGTCAAGTTTGTAAAAAACACACTTCATTTTGAGGTACAGTAAATTTTCAGCACAGAGCTTTCACTTTAAAGTGCCATTTCCTGTTGTGGACTGAGCAACTAACGGACACCTACTTAACAGAGACAACAAACTAGGTTGAAGACATGGCCAAATGCAAGTAGGATGCTGACTGTATGAAACCCTGTGGACTTTGAACTAATGACCAAGGAGAAATCTGGACCCCGTGGCTGGACCAGTTGGGGGCCACTGTTTTAGAGTACTGTGGTCCTGTTGGGTGATTTTAAAGCAAAGGTCTGAACTGAGGCTGTTATAGCATCCTGCAACTATATACTTCATAGGGATGATCTTAGTTGGCCTATACGTAAACGATTAGTTCATTACAGACAAATATGACTACAATCCGTAAAACCTATGCATAGCAGTGTTATCCTTGTTTAAAATGGTAACTCATTCTAAAAGAAAGCCAACACTCTGTCTATCTCTGTGAATAAAACCGGATACAAAACACAACTGTGAAAGGGCGATGCACAGAAGTGTCAAAGTTCACACTGTCTGAAGTTGTGGCTACCTAAAAGGCTGAGAGGACAACCCGTCTATATACATCCTGCACTGTCTGTTCCAATACAGTGTCAGTGTTTCTCGCTCTTTTCTCTCTCTCTGGGTGGTTCATCCAGTCACATATTTAGCGGTAGACAGTGAAATCCTTTCATGGTTCATAATTCATACAGACAGCATACATTATTTATGGACTTTCTGAACTGTTTGCTGTGTGATCTTTTCGAGCATTTCCCTCTCCCTCCTGACACTATAGGCTACACTCTGTCCTGGGGTGTCAGGAAAATGCTCCCTGTATTGTCTCTTTAAATGACATACCACGATCATAGTCTTTTTAATGTATATTTCAAGCTTTATTTCTAAGGAGAAGTTGTAAAAAGGTACCCAGATGTCTCCAAGTATTCTGCATGAGTAACCTGAGGTGCATGACCTCCAGTCTCCTGGAAAGATTCTCCAAGGTGAATTGGTACATTCCCTTGTTGGGTGTGCAGCATCGGAGCAGACTCACACATATACCAGCATGCACTTTGAAACAAATCAAGCCTCAGTGGGTTACATGGCCACACATGCAGGGCTTGGCATGTTAATGAACACACATCTTCAGCACGGAGAAACCGGTTCAGCCAAGTTACATGTGATTCATTGTATGTCTGGATTCAAGTGATAGCCTTATCCCAAATGGGCATGAATCTATGAAATTCAAAAGAGATATGATTAAGAGAAAAATAAATGGCTGTCATCCATAACTATGCAATGTGTCCCGCCCCACAGCACCACTGCACACACACTGAGAGCCATATAAAGCTTGTGGTAAAGTTACGCAATAGTGCCTTGACACACAGAATAACAATAAGATCGGGCCTGCACGGTACCGACCTTTCACTTGGGTCTCATACTCGGCAATAATCTCTTTGTCCTTCTTGACTTTCGCATGAGATGACATTTTGGGAGAACGGCTTGTGCAATCCTCGGGCAGGAATCAGCGTCTCGGTTGCCACAATGCAGCGATTTGCCCGTCTGCAGTCCTCTCCGGATAGTTGAGCAACAATCAGATGCAAATCATCCCCCGCTTGACACAACTTCGGAGATTAAACGCACTTGAGGCTGCTGTGCGATGTTGCTGCGTTCAAGGCGATGTCTAAACCTAAAAGTGCATACTGATCCACTCCGTCCCTGACCACTCCTCTTCTTCTTCAGCTGCACTCTTCACTGAATCGGGAAACAATTCACGTTTTATGTACATTTCATTAAAAAGCCTGGAGTGCGCTCTGGGAGGAAGAGCTACGGCAGCCTGGGCGATAATAGCACACAGCTCCTTCTGCACAACAACTGTCCAGTCTGCCTTTTTTTTTCCTCCTCTCCCTCTCCCTCTCTCTGCAAGTTCAATGCTGATGCAGAAAAGGCTGAATGGATGTGAAAGTCAATCTGAGACTCCTCCCCCAACCCCCTCCCTTCTTCACCACTTTCTTCCTCATGGATGAGTGAGCTGATATGCAAACCTTTGCCAATTACATTTCATATATGTTGGTGAGTCCACAGCTGAAGGCATATATAAATAGATGATGCTGATAAGGATGTGGTATCTCTGTTTCCATGACATCAGCTGTGACATGAAGCTGACTGCAGAGCAATTTCAGCCATTTTTTTTTTTAAATTCAAATTCAAATGTTTGGCTATATATTATTATTAATATGACTCCTCAGCACAGTTTGGTGACATTGAACATAACACTGACATCATCATATTCCAATGCAAATAAAAAGACATACTCATTTGTTACTCAGCATTTAAGTACTGTAAAACTTCAATTAGTAGCCCAGGCTATTATTTGTTTCAATCACTGAATTCAACAGGCCTATATATGGGACAGGCCGTAATTCCTTTCACACAAAACTGTTGCTCAGCAAAGATGGGAAATACAATGAAACTGTATTATTAGACCAGAATCAATATTACTTGTTTAAAAATTAGGCTTCAGATAATATATGAATTATGAATCATTTATTTGATCTAGCTCCGACAGAGGATTAGGGCACCCGGCATACAGACACAACACCAATTTACCCTGTTAAAACAATACTCACAACTTGAATTAATTGTTATGAAAAACCCTGTTGATTTGAGAACCCTTACGGACTAAAGGAATATGAATAACTTGCAGGGTAATCGAGGAACGGACACATAATTTGAGGTAGCCAACAGCCCAGTTTTATACATCCAAGAACTTCTATAGAAAAAAATGAACTGCTGGCAACCAGACCAGGCCTCTAATTGAGACAGGTGTTTAATTGTTAAATGTATAGCCACATCAGGCTAGTAAGATCTTTCTCTCATATAAGTAACTAATGAATGGGACCTATAGGTACTTGAAGACTATGCAGGAGCAGTTCAGTCTCAGAATGTGTTACAACTGGTCACAAAATGTCAGGCATTCATGATTATTTTCTCAGGTAATTGATTATTATTTTTTTTTGTGTTTTGTTTTTCATAAAATGTCAGAAAGTAGTGAAAATTCTGTTACAATAATACACTGAATGTTTAGTCATTTTCCCCAAAGGCCCTAATCTTTAAGGTTTTTGAAATACTTCTAACTTTGTGTAATTTCTTTAATTTTTTTCTTTATTCTTTAAAAAAATATTTATTTATCTCGTTAATTTTTTTCTTAATTTTTATTCATTTATTTTTCTGTCTCCCTTGTTCCCAATTTAAGTTTGTTTAATCTTTTTGCACCTGTAACTCTTGCCCTCTTGCCTGTTCCTTGTCCTTCTAACTCATTCCCCCTTTTTAATACCTCATCAGCTTCATCAACACACACACACACACACACACACTCACCAACAAACACACAAAATGGCACTCAGTACCATCAACGTACATTATATCAATGTGTCTTTGTTTGTCTTTTGTGTTATTTGCCATTATACACCTGTCTTGTCTCCCACGTAGTGTTGTCCCTGTCATGTCTGTCACTTGTTTTGTACCCGCATCACCCCAAAAAAAAAAAAAACTTTGTGTAATTTCTCCTCAGTCTCTCCAGAGATACCACAAATCAAGGGAACAAAAGTTCTCTATTAGTTATGCTTTTTATGCCAAATTCCTACTCTGTGTTATGTAACTTAAGACTGCTACATCAGACAGTTTTTGCTTGTTTTCAGGTGGCAGGATTATTATCCTTTTCCTCAGGAAGTATCATGTTTTTCCCAAATGATGTACAGATTTTTTGGCAAACTATGATCCCAAATGGCTTGAAAAAATAGCACTGCTGTAAGTATGAAGGAGGGGAATCTCCCTGAGGAGCGTGCCTCCAGACGCCCCTGCAGCCCAAGATTACATTTTCAGAAGTCTTACTTTGGCTGACCAACAGTCTAAAAACAAAAATTACTCAGTTTGCTATCATGAACGACAAAGAAAAGCATATTCACCTTTGATAAACTGGACTCAGCAAAAGTTTGGCCTTGATTCTTATCAAGATAGCTGCAGATTAGCTTGTGATAATTCAGGGGTGGGCAACCTTTAATATCAAAAGAGCTATTTTTTACCTAAAATAATACAACAAAATATATATCTGGAGCCACAGAACATATTTGAACCCTATATTGAAGGGAAACACAGCCTACTGAGTCTACATTACTGATAAGTCTAAATGAGTATCCATTAATATGTGTTACTACAAGATGGCTACTCTGCAGTGGGCTGTTTAAGATTATTTGAAACTTTAACTCCACAGAGTTGGCGGTGAAAGCAAATGAAGCTGTCCACACACCATTAAATTCTCTCTTCTCCTCTGAGACTTTTACTTTTTTTGGATTTGGAAACCATGGCTGATCTATCTAGGGGGATTTGAGACTAGCCAATGCTCTTGAGGTTTGGCAAAGTTTGGAGGAAAAGGCATCAGTCTGTAGATGTTAGAGCACATTTTGGTAGATGAAATGTTTAAACCTTATTTTTTGGTGCATAGGTGCATATTTTCTTTAGGGCCTACAACATGCATGTGGGTCCAGAGCCTCAGGTTGCCTACCCCTGGTCTAACTGATTATTCGACTACTTGTATCTCTGGATAAAACATCGACCAACAACCACTAAAGATCTGCAATTCTGCCTGATGTCTTCAGTTTCATATGACTCCCACACAATCACCAAAATATCCAGATTACTCAGGAAATTCAAATGTCAAGAAACAACAAAAAACAATTTTGTCCTTTGAAAATAGCAGAAATTGAGTCGTGGATTCCTCTTGGGTTTGAACAAGACAACTACCTGACATCACAGAAACTTCTTCCTGCATGCAGAAACTGAGCTGTTACAAATGACTGACTGGAGCCATTCTCCACTCCACAGTTGCAACACTTTGACAGAGATGATGGATCATCTCTCCCCAGAGAAAGTCAGAATGGCTTAATGTGTCACTCTGCCCTGCTCTTCCCCTCTCAATGCTCTTCACTGCAACACAGTTTTCTGACAAATGCTGTCAAATAACTTCCCGTGGCTTCTCAAGTGCAACTGTGTGCTACGTCTTCGACCTTACAATACCCCAAAATGTGTTTTTGTCTCCAAGCAATGTAAACCCATGTATAGGACAGGGATAATTGAGCGCTCTCATTTTGAGACTGCAATTTGAACTGTGTCAAGAAATCCCACTTCGCCTTTGCACCCAATTTTCAGGAAATCTGCAGGCTACTGTCAGCCTGTGACAGCACTGTTAAAGCTGGGAGAGAGCCCAGGAGAAATCTGCAGGAGAACCGTTCGGTTGTCACCGTGCAATCTCCACTAATTTCCTCAGCAAATGTTACTCACCAGTTCTTGGCCTCGGAGCAGGCCTGATAAAAGTTTGGCTGGGTTTGAAAATAATGTGAAAAAGCTGTGTCTAACTAGGCTGTGGAAACTTTAACACCATCCACTTATAGGCCTTTATGGGAGGGACGATCATCACATGGTCCACATAGAAAAGATTAAGTTACCTCAGGAGGCTAATTAAGATTGCTCGCTGTGTAAATGTAAGAATTACAGCAGTCATTATGGTGGAGTTATTCAGGATTATGCCTATGTTCACCATGTCATTTTATGATTGAGGAATAGATTACTTTACTCTGATTTATGTGTTTTAATTTAATCATTAACCAAAATATTAATGTTTATATAGACTGATGTTTTATAACCTCTTTATATAACACAGGGATATTGAATTGGAAAACATCAGATAACACATCTGTCTGAAATGATAAATTATGTGCATATTTAATTCAAAAAGTAAAAAAGTATATTTTTAATATTTATTTATTTTATAATTTCTTTTATTTATTTCTATTTTATTTTTGTTTTACGCTGACTTCGATGAGAATATATATATATATATTTTTTTAACCATTCAACAGTGAGGGCTTTGGCATCTGAGAGTTATGGCCCCAATAATCAAGAGAAGAAAGTTAATATTGTGTAGATTTACATTAAATTACCTATTAGTTGCATTACTTTCACAGCAATTTACTGAGACGTTTTACAGTAAATTATAGTAAAATGACAGGTGTGACTTCACAGCCAGTTATGCCTGTTATGTAGCAGTATGCTTATTGCAGAATTACTGTAGTGATCTGTGATTTTACATTAAAATACCCATCAGATTACTGTGATGAAGCAGTATGCTGTTGTAGAATGACTGAATTAGGTGTAAAAAATAATGCAGCTCAGTGGCAAATGATTAACTGCAAGTTAACATTTCAATTTTCAGGTTTTTATATTTAAATTCATCACAAAATCTGTTAAACTCAAATTAATAAAAAAAAAAGCCTGATTTTACACATTTATAGTTTTTTTTACTCCACTACTTGAAGAAAACATGATTAAGTGTCCTTCCATGGGATAAAATGCAATAAAGTGCAGGCTGCACTATATGCTATCAAACTTTATGCGTGCTGGTCCCCCATTGCAAGCCAGTGGCCAGTGTTCAGTTATTATAATTTTCACCCCTGCCCCTCAGGCACCCAGAGTGCATCACTGCGAGGGGTGCTTGGTGGCACCAGTCGTTAAACATCGCTGACTGTGGCACACAGCTGCAATATGATTTGAATTTAACATTCTGTACCAGCCCCCTGTCTTGTCTTTTATTGTGCAATAGTAAACATCATGTAAGTGAAAAGGATGTACTCCCTCTTTCACTGTGTTCAGTAGGTAACTTTGCCAACAACCTCAAGCCACTAAAATTGTCTAATTGAATAGCCCAATACTGTTTTAATGTCTCTACCTTGTTTTTCTTTTTTTTTTTTTAGATTATTTTAATTTGTTTAGCCTATTACTCTTATTATCATTTTTCTTTTATTTATTATTTTATTATTTATTGTAATATATGATGATGATGATGATGATGATGATAATAAT